GCTTCATCCCAGTCAGGAGCCGTCCTCCCGGCGGCCGGCGCCGGGCTCCTTCCTCCGCTCCCTGCTACCCGCCTTTGTACCTGGAGGGAAGGACTCACATTTGGCGACGAGGCCTGAGTCGGGGCCCCCTGAGGCCTGCCTGTTCCTGGGAGGCCCTCCATTTTGTGGCCGTTGGCTCCATGGGCCTGCTCTGGTTGGGGCCGACCAAGAGGACTCTCTCCAGCAGGGACCCTGGGGTCTGAAAGGCCTCTGCCCAGCCTGGCTGGAGTGGGGCTGCCTTTCAGGGCCAGGCAAATAAGGAACTGTGAATAAGGGACCCACTCCAGCCCCTTCTGTGAGGGAAACCTACTGTGGGGCGCTGGATAAGTCACATACTCTCAGCCTCAAATGGCCTCTTTGGGAGGAGGTGCAGGGGGCAGTGGCATCCCTAGGGTTGGTGTCACACACCCCTCATTGACCTCCTCCCATTTCACACCAAACAGGGCCCTTTTTTGCACTAATGTGACTCATAAATCATAATTCCCATATTCCTCTAAATGCCATGGTTATAATATCTGCGACATAAGCAGCTAGCAAAATTAAAATTATAATCTCCAGATTACAATACCATAGACACAACATAAATATTTACATTTGGATCGTGAGGATTTGGTTCAGATGTGATGTTGGTTTTTTTAAAATAAATTTTTATTATATTCACAAACATATATACAAACTACAAAAGAAACATATAGATAAAATACATTCATCCTAAAACTTCATATCAAACATACATTCCTGTACATTCTTGTCCCATCCTTCCCTCCACACACCCTTAACATCTCTATAGTTAAGGGAAATAGTTTCAGTTTTTATCTATAAACAATCTTAACAGATTTTTCCAACTGTTTTATGCTGTCTACACAATAAACATCACATAAGCCATAAACATTCCCTTTTTGGGTTTTTACACCAATCTGTACTATTTGTTTAACTTTAAAGATTTGGGATTTCATTCTTGATCTTTTATAGTTTTTAATCTTATTGCAACTTCCTTACGTGTGATTTCCTCAACTGTTGTTTATATAATATATTTCTCCTATACCTTATTTCCTCTTTATCAAAAAGAAAAAGCACGAAACATTAATTCATCTTCCATTCTCTAACCTCATCTATTTTGAAGACAATTCCATTCCTTTTATTTCTTTTCCTTTTAAGTTCTCCCTGAGTTTATCCATATCAGCTGCTTCATGAAGTTTAAGTATCTATTCTCTTTC